TCTGGCTTAGATAAATAGGGTTTAAAAGAAAAAAAAACAAAAAAACAAAAAAACCCCCACAGAAACAACAAACCAGTAAAACCAAAAAGCAACAAAACCAACATTTGGGGGATGAATAAGTTCATCTGTTCTTGCAGTACTTCAGGGATACTTCAGCTCGTTGTGCTGCTGTGCTTTTGGGAGGGGAAAGGAGGAGGGATACGAGGGACACTGCCGTGGGGATTTGGGGATTCCATCTTCTTCTTCATTCACTCAGGTACATGTATCTGTTTGGCCTTTGAAAATCCGAGGCGCCCGGAGGCAGCTGCGTCTGCTGGCCCAGCATCGCAGTGCGCCTTGCCTCTCGCAGGAGGGGCTGAGACAAACCATCGCCAGGGGAGGAAAGGCCTGTTCCACAGCTCGTAATTTTTTGGGGACACTTCAGCTTATACCTACTGTACCTTTTGCAATCAAAAATCAAGGTAAGCTCTTTAGGGTTTTAAAGATACCAGGTCTTATCAACATTCCTTTAATTCTATTACTGTTTGCTGTGTACCTGGGCCAGCTGTGTCAGACTGGTAATGAATTACAGTGCAGTGGGTGAGGTGCTGTTTTATTTTTCTGCCCAGCTGGAATTGATGAAGTGATCAGCTTCCATCGATCCTCACTGGGAAGGAGTATAAAATACAGGTTTTTATGAAATTGGACCTGAGAGCAAATAATTGGAAGAATATGCTTTAGAATTTGCAGCCTATAATTAAACATTTCCAAGAGGCAGCGAGATACAGCAAGCTCAGCAGAAGGAGGCATTTCGCTGGGAAGACTTCCCGTCTTTGCTTTGTTTCACGCTGTGTGCTGTTAAAGCAAACAACTTCGCAAGCTTCAGAAGTGTTCGGCAGCTCTTGACCAAGAATAGCATCTAACATCACAGCTAAGCTGGAAACAATGAGGGCCATCAGTCGTCTTTTTTTTTTTTTTTTTTTTTTTAGCACATAAACTAGGTAGCTTAGCTCATGGAGAAATCCCCATTACTCTATTTTAGGTATTCTAGAGAGTGCAGGATGAGAGTTTTCATCTTCTGAATGATCCAGCAGTAACCACCATGAAGGAAGGGACCTCATTTAGAGCAGTGCCCTGATCTGCTGTGCAATTAATACTTACCTGTGCAAGCCAGGGTCTCCTCTTTTCACTTGTATACATCCTAACCACCAGTCCTTCTACAGAATTTATCAAATATGTCTTGTCTGATTAAAAAAATGAGTTTGAGATGTGATAGAAACACCTACCTTGTGCCAGGTAGGATCAGCTAGACTCCTGATTAAGTGTCTTGCAACGTAGATGTGGGAGCCGTGGCTGTGTCGCTCTGACTGTGTTTGCAGGGGAGCGGTGACAGCTTTGAACTGGAGTCAACGTGCAGAGTCGTGCTACAAAAGTCTTCATCTGTAAAGGGGAAGGCTGGTTCGGGGTAGGAAAATAGGAAGGTGGAGGCTTTTGGTACCCTCACAGAGTCAAATTCAATTTTTCTGTGCTCATTTACTGGAGCCTACCAGGAATGTGTTTGGTGAACTTCAAATTTTGAAGGAGACTATCCACCATGTGCCCTGCTTTTGGCTTTTTAACCTCGGTAGCTAAAAGTTTGGGGTGCAATCTATTAGTTTTTTTTTCTGGTGCGTGGAGCTGCAAGCCCCTTGCGGCTCTGCAGGCCGGAGCCGGGTGTGTTTGCGTGCTGCCCATCACAAGGTCTCCCCGCTGCAGTTGTGCAGCCCTGAGCTCTCCCGGGGCGGTTGCAGGATGCTGCTGCCTCCGTAGCTGCAGCAGCCCAGGGCTCCGACTCCAGCTCCGGCGCCTCGCAAATGGTTTGCCAAGAGTCTGTGAGTAGCTTTGAGGGTGCCCAAGGAAACCATTAGCTGCACACTTGTTTCTTCAACAGCAGCCAGTGTTAGGAATAAGAGAGAAAATGGAAGTGTCTTCCCCGTGCTTTTAATTCGTAGCTCCTCTCTGGAGCGAAGTCATGGAAACCAGTTGAAGAACTGGTGTCCAACTTTTTGTCCTTTTCTTGAACCCCAAAGCTCATGCAAATTCATCAGTGAAGATAAACTTTAAGAGGTCAAGGTAGAGCCTATAGTGTGTAATAGAAAACATACACAACATGGAAATTGGATGTAAACCTCTTGCTGTTCCTTTGTGAATCTATTATACATGAGCCCATCAGAGCAGCACATTAATAAAACAGGAGGCTAAAGCACTTGGCACTCCCCTCTCTTTAGCGAAACATCAGAGGCGAGGCTGTCAGCTTCGGCCTTTGAGGGCTGGAACTTGCATCTGCCCAGCTGCTTGGGTGACAGGGTCAGGATGCTCCAAGGGGAATCTCACCACTGAAGGGAAACCTCTCCATGGTGTGGGAGTCTTTTATGTGAGTAACATTCTCCTCCTCTAGGACAAAGCCACTGTTCTCTCCTGCTCAGCCTTCTTACCTGCTGAATTCTTTAGGCAATAGGCAAAGAAGGCCAAAGATGGGTTAAAGCAACCTCAGACATCAGGTACTGAGACACAAATTGCATGTGTTCCTGGAAAGCTCTCCCCACCAGGACCCCTCTGTCCTAGTATTTTGTTATGCATGGGTACCACAACGACCAGACCCTTTGCTTTGCTGAATAGTGGGGAGTAAGTGACACTGAATTTACAAAAAAAAAAAAAAAAAAAAAAAAAAAAAAAATCAAAAAACCAGTGTTTTGTTTCTCCATCAGGACAAATCAAGGTGGCTCTTTGGACCTCCCCTGCAATCACAGTTGTGTTGCCGAGGGCCCTTGTGCAGACAGGAACACCTCTTGCCCTTCTGGGTGAGCAGAGGCATCGCGGGGGTGCTGCTGCTGAATAACGGGCTGCGTACCATATCTGACCTTAGTGAAAATGGGAGTAGCTGTAGTGTGGTCTAAGTCTGGACCTGTGTGGCTGTAAGTATTCCTGGCTGATGGCTCTTAAAGGTAGAGGTTTGAGCAGCTGATATCCTAGCCCTAGTACGGGAAGTTAAACATCAAGGACACTGATTTAGCTGGTGTTACGAGTGGGGGTATTTAGGAGTAAGAACCAGCAGATCTAATTAAGAGTTGCAGTTTTCAAAGTAATGGGGAATGGACACACTGGAGAAATATGGTTAATTTGTTAAAAATGTATTAGCAAGCTACAGAGCCAGGCAGGGGATGGGCAGCGTAGAGCAAGAGAAGGGCTGTGGCATAAATGAGAAATCTGAGCTCACTGTCGGCATGTTTAAGGCTGCGGAGCCGCTCAGACTCGCTGGGAGTTGTTTGGGCAGTGATGTACCAGCGTGGTGCTGCCTGAACCATAGGAAACCTTAGAGACACACCCAATATTGAGACAAGCTTCAGTTTATAAGGGGTAGGCTTTGTGTTGTGTTGTGGGCAGCACTGTTTCTTTGATCATTTTCTGAGGTGCATGTGAGGATAACAGATCTGTTTTTCATGAGTTCACGAACGTTTAATTTGCATCCTCTCTGGCTTTGAAGACCTGGGGGGTTTTCTTATTTGTTTATTTTTTTGCTGCCCCCAAAAAACCCCTACAGCTTGCATCCTTAAGAAAGGAAAAGAGCCATTTATCCTAACACTGCCTATGGAAGCTTTACTGTGTCACATCAGAGGCGAAGGGGTTTGGGTTTGGACCACTGAGGAGGTCTTGAACGGTCTGTTCACCCCGCTGCCTTGCCGACACGGCCGTGACCGTTTCCTGAACGTGACCGGGGCAAGTCGAACACCTGGATCTGCCCCGCTGCGGCGGTCGGTGCTGAGTTAGTGCCCAGTGGGCTCCGTCGGGGGAGCAGAGCCCCGGAGCTCCCCGGCCGCTGCGGCAGTGCTGGTGGCTCTGTGCCCCTCAGTGCCACCGGCCGTTTCGGTGGGGAGCGACCTGCCTCTGCCCTGGAGGGAACCTCATGGGCAGGATGTGCCCCAGGCAGGGCCAGTAAGTCCGTTTGTCGCTGAGTCACGCTGCGGGGAATTTACATCTGTCTTTTTCCATGATAGACATGGATGGAAGTGCTGTGTCTGATATCTGCTCTGGGGCCAAAAAGCCTCGTTTTGGATCCCTGCCACTGGTGGTGGCACCTGCCTCCCATGTGCGGGCTTTGTGTGTGCTGCTTTGCTGGGACAGGGAAGGAGTCATCCTCGGGAAGCTGCGGGACTGTGTTACCTCTGGTAAGTCCTACCCTGAGCTGAAGCCTGGACACCTTGAGCGTATTGTTGCAGAGGAGAAAGCTGTGTAAGGCAACTAATTCATCTCAGACTTGGCAAGTCTTCTCTCCAAGCTGAGCTGGGTTGGAAGCTGCGTTGCCATTCATTCCCGGAGGATGCCAGCGACGCGCAGCCAGAGGAGGGTGTTAGGATTCAGCTGAATGAAGTTGTCGTGCAACTAATCTTCAGTACAGATCGGTAGCCTTGAGTGACTGGTGTGCCGTTGCACAGAAATAAACTGGTAGTGACCCAGGGTGCGTGTTACACACAGTCAGCTGCCTTCCAGTGTGACTGGTTGGAAAAACTTCTCCTGGGAAAGGGGTAATGCCAATGTTTTTGGTAATGGCTGAAGTTTCAAGCCTTGGCTTAATAAACTTTAAAAAGGACCTTTTTTCCTGAGAGCAGTCTGCTTTTAGGCTTTTTCAGCAGAGACCAGATATTGCTATTCATGCCTGAAATCTATGATTTTGATCAATAATTCTGGTTTTTGAGCAGATTCGGAATTTGTTCTCTCGTACTTGGTTGTGCACCATAACACCGAGCTGCAGCTTCCCGAGGAGCTCGGTGCCACTTGGCCCTGCAGCACAAGGCTGATCTGTCTGCACCTTTGCTCTGACTTGTGCTGTTTTCCTTTGCCTTTTGCTTATATGTATTTATTTGCAATGCACTGCACCCAAAATACCAGCTGGCCTACTTGCTCTTGGAGTGTGAAGCAGTAGTTAAAGGAGAATTTTAGATATATTTTTTTTTTCTCATTTAGACAGAAGAAACAAGTTCAGCTTTGACCATGCATGTTACATTTTAATTTTTTCTCATGCCAAGAAATACAAAGAAAGTATATAAGATATACCATATCATCCTGCAGAAAAAAGAAACATTGATCAGCAAAGAGAAGTGCCCAGCTGCAATTCCTGATGTGTTCATGCTGTGTGTGAAACACGACTCTTCCAGTTTGGCTTCAAACCAGGAGGAGCTGGTGCCTGGCCGGTGGTTGTGGCAGCGGGGGGATAGGCCCTGCGCTTCCACACAAAGGATGGTGTCCTGGGCACCATCTGCCCAGGGCACCTGCTCCAAAGTGGTATCAGGGTTGCCTCGGTGAATCCTGCACGTGTTCCCTTTCTGATGTTTCTTATCCTGGATGGGTATTTATAGTTTTGAATTTCGCTACCTACTGGTGTTAGCAAATGCTTTACAAATATTCCCACTTTGAAAAGGCTGCTTTCCCCCTCCACCCCCTTGGCTTGTGCCCAAGCACAGGAGTTTTCAGTTCAAACCTGTCTTTGCCAAAAGTAAAGGATGTACGCTGAAAGAAAACCAACCTTAAATCTGAAATTATTTCAGTTTAACTGTGCATCCTTGGCTGTGGTTCTGTGATAATTACCAAAGTGATAGGGCAAGGTTGGGGGCATCATAGAAAGAGAAATGAATAAAGTCATGGGACCAGCCCAGTGGGTGCGTTTCTGCAGCCTCTCCCTGGACTCAAACTGAATGGAAATGGAGTTTTAATTCTATATAAAAGGCCGGATCCGGTCCCCTTGTCTACATGGAGAAGCCTGTAATTGGAAGGTCAACTACTGCAGTGGTACATGCTCGAGTCTGCAGACAGTCTGGGTCAGAGCCTTAGGGAAGCAGGCTCCCTACCCCTCGATAACCCCTTTCAGTGAAGGCCAGTGATGGCATCTCAGTGCCAACAGGACCTGTCCTGGGTTAAAGGAAAGATGGAGGATGGGAGGGAAGAGCCTGTGTGACTCGTGCATTGCTCTAGGAGCAGAAATGCTGAGGGGAAAGCACATTAAACTCGCAGAGATGGGCGGAGAGGGTTAAACCAGAACAGAGTGAAATACCGACCAGAAAAACCAAACCCATTGTTAACACAGAAAACTATGAAATCAAATCTTTTGTTGCTTTCTTTCCTCCCTTTGTGCTCAAATCCCTTTGGTCTCCTCTGCAGGCACTCGGGCGAGCACCAGCCAGCGTGTTGCTGTGACCAGCTGACTCGTGCCAGACATTTTCTGACCCTTGGTTGTTGCATCCTATGAGAAGCTGGTGTGAAACCAAGCTAGCTTGTCTGCTCGACAGCAGCAAATTGCTTGTTCAGCTTAAGCCTTTGGTCTACCAGTGTTGTACCCGGCAAGGGCCCTTCTGTGCCACCCTGCAGAGCCCGGCTCTCCCCCAAACCCTGGGGAGAGGAGCCCAGGGACACCAATGCCAGAGAGGTGCCGTCAGCCGTGTGCTCTGCTCAGAGACTCTTCCTGAGCAGAGCAAAACACGTATTTATATACCACCAGGACCTCACACTTGTCGATCGTAACTCCTACTTGAACTTACATTTAGAGACGTTTCCCACCTTCTCTATCTCTTCAGCAAGCTATCCTCCTACCAGCTCCGCTTCGCTGTCAGGTAAGGATGAATTACCACTGCATTGCTTGGATTTCTTGCCTCTCCCCTATTGCTTGCTTTGCTAGGGGGTAGAGGTTGGCCAAATCCTGAGGAATTCATGACTGTTATAATTACAAACACAGAAAGCTCGAGTCTGATGTGTGTGCTTAGAAGAGGCTGCAGCAGGTGGCAAAGATCTGTGACACAAGTAATAGGGCTTGTTTATGGGCATGGAGAGGAAAAGACTTTTCATGACATAGTTTCTGTGATTGCCTGCCTGTGTACTAGAGACAAAGTTAAGGAGAGGAGGGATTGTGCCTGGATGTGGCAAAAAGGATGTCTGAGCTTAGGTGAACACTACATCAGCAAAGAATCATGAGGGATGCTGTGGTTCCCCAGATGTAGACCAAAGGAGGAGCTGTGCCCGCTGGTGGCCTCAGGATGAAGCCTTGCCATGGTTTACCTCCTCGAAACACAGTCGCAGGTGAGGTGTGTGTCAAGGGCTGGAGGATCAGCAACTTCTTTCTTTGCAAATACAAGCTAACATACGCAACAGAGCCAAATAGGCAGCTGAGCTGCGATAAATCTGTGTGTGACATGGAGAGCAAGGATCTGGTGGCAAAACCTTTGCAAAATATCAGGCTGCAAAATGTACAGGGAAGTTGGGGGAGAGCACAAAGAAGAGACTTTCCAGATAGCCCTGGGGAGTTTATTTTTCTAGTACTGCAGAGCCAGAATGCAAGGAGAGAAAATATTTTGTCAGGAGTGACTGTAGAGGCTTTCCCCTGAATTTGAATGCAAGATAAGGAAAAAAAAGCTGTATTCAAGAGTGCAATACAATTCTATCTAATCAGAAAGATTTTAAAATTAAAGTAATTTAAGTGTCTTAGTGTTTCTTTTTTATTATACTTAATAGTGAGACAAGAAGCAGTTGCCTCAGCAGCCTGATGATACAGGCTAAGACAGGAGGCACAAACCATGTTTGGGTTGCATGCAACGAATCATCACTGTGGGGTTTTGGGGGAAAACTTCTGCCTTCTCCTGCATTCAGATGAATCTGGGTACCTCCACTGCTCTGTGCTTCACCAGCCTGGGACTTCTCCTGGCAAGGACTATTGCAGCTGCCTTGCAAAAACCCCCCTTGTTCCTACGACTTTAAGTATCCCAGTCCGTTTTGCAGTGTAGCGTATGTTTGCCTAGATCCCTTTGGGAAAATCAGATTTAAAGGAAATCTGTGTTCATACATGGTCCTACTAAGGAAGAGAAAGAAAAACTGGTTTCTTTTTGGAGCTGCACAGTGCATGTGACTGAGCAACTTTGCCATCGGTGCAATTAGAGCAGCGTAATGCTGACCCACCTCATGGGGGGTGGCAAGGTTTAATCCTTTAAATGTGGTAAAGCACTTTAGATGAAAGGCTTTATGTAATGATAAAAGAGCATTTAAATTCTTACTTAATAAATACTTGGCGCTCTCAAGTACTATAACTCATTGCAGCGGTTTTCCCTGAATGTTGACTCTTCCTGCCCAAGGAGGAGCTTGCTCAGCTCTTACCATAAGCTGAATTTCAGCAGCTCAAAGAGCAAAGGGCAGAAGATGCACACACAGGCAGCACTGCCCTTATGCATCTCAGGAAAATATAGTGCATGCTTCCCAGCAAGCAGCTTTCGGGTTCAAGCGTTAAAGAAGGAAATGTTTGGGGGATTTGGTGGGATGTCATCAACCATAAGATGAGAGTTTGAATCTCCAAGGGAGGGTTTCTGAGTAGCTCAGGAAGAAGAGATCTGGTGCCAAGGGGCACGCTGGCAGCAGCTGCGGGTGGGAGCTCACACCCAGCAGCACTCAGCAGCCCCTGCTTGCTGAAGCTCACACAAAATGAATCGCAAAAGAAAGGTTGCAAATTTGGTCCATTTTAGAAGCCAATGGTTTGTAATAAAGCACTGGCAAAGGGGTGGATGGGAATGGAGCCCAAGAAAGTGCTGTAGTGGTGTGCTATTGCTGTGAGTCCCTGGAATCCCTTTTTAATGTAGAGAAAAATGTTAGTGTGTCTAAGGGATTTGGGTTTCTTAGGCCCTGGATTCAAGTAATGTCTAGCAGAAGAAAACAATTTAAAGAGGAGCAATCAAACAGATGATGAGAATTTTCACAGCGATGCCCATGGCTTTGCACATTAGCTACTGCAGAGGAACCACAGGGTGGGTTTACAGTGGACCACTACCCTGTGCTAAGCCCACGTGTGCCCACTCAGACACTCCAGAGAAGTTAGTGCCAAGCAGTCGCCATGTGGTGAAGTGTCTTATGGTATGCAGTAGATTCTCCATGTAGACAAGTCCTCAGAAGCATTAGATTTGGTCTAAAGTTTGGGGTTTGTTTGTTTGTTTGTTTTTCAGAATGTGGGTGCTAGAGAGCAGAAGTGCCCTGAAACACCTTATTTGTTAGTGCAGTCCATATTTCTAGGTCCCAGGCTGTCAACTGGAGACAACAGAAAGGCTGGGGAGTGCAGCTCTTGGCCAGGAACTTGTGCCCGCAAAGTTTTGATAAAAGAGAGAGGCTCAGCTAATACGGAGCCAATGGATATGGCCAGAAGCCATCTACAAAGCCTGAATAAAATAACAGGCAATGAAACTTTGCATAGTCTGGGTGGCTGGATAGAGGACCAACCCCAGTAACAACCAGCAAGGACAGGGAGAGGGGGAGGAAGAGGGTCTGGGGCTGGACGGAGGCTGGAGGGAGCGTGGCAGAATCGAATCCTGCGGGAAAAAGCCGAGGAGCCGCGCAAGGTGGAAGACGTGGCGGGGCACGGGGTACGTACAGGCAGGTTGGGAGAAGCAAAGTGTATTTTCTTGTTATGTTAAATATAAAACGTTAAAAAATAATACTACTTGTGGAACTGACCCCAGCCAACTCTGGGGATGCTGGAGATTTTCAGAGATGCAGAAGAGCGTGTGAGGGGTGCAGGGACAGGAGCAGGAATCCTAAACTCCTCCACAGCTCTGAAAATCTCCTGGAAGGCCCTAAGCTGAGGCCCAAAAGAGTTGGGGAGATAAACACTGATAGTGGCGGGGTCTGGATCACACTGATGCTTTTGTGTGATGGACATGACATGACATAAATGTGTAAGTGGGTAAAATGGGCTCTTGGTACACTGCTACAGATTAACCAGGCTCTTTTCTCAGCGCCGTGAGTATTAACCTCACTTTGGGTGCACAGAGAGAGAAATGTGTGGGTTCACAAAGAAAGCATTATTTTTCCTTCCATTAAAAACCCCACCATGGGATCGGGGTGAGGAGGAGCCTGGCATTCTCATGCAGCAACATCCTGCTCTGTCAGCTCTGAGATCTGCCCTAAGTGATAAAAGAGCTTGTAGGAACAGACATAGAGAACATTCCCAAAGGCATGCAAATGGTCATTGTCTCTTTTTTTTTTTTTTTTTTTTTCATCAAAAATACAAAAGCACCCACCACATCCTCCAGCTTTTGTGGCTGCGTTTCGTTCGGAGCAGAGCCGTGGTCCTGCTGCAGCTCTGCTCTCCCTCCTCCTCCATGGAACAGCTTTCAGCTCCCGATGGCAGTTTGAGCTTTGTTGTTTGTTTTGGTTTTTTTTTTTTGTTTTGTTTGTTTTTTTTGTTTTTTTTTTTTTGTAGAGACAGAGAATTTGACGATTTAAAAACCAACAACCCCCCAAAAATTCAGTGACTTGTGCCAAAACTCTTAGGAGGATTCCTCAAAATGTCCTGTTCTCGCTTTAAATTTTCTTTTAAAATAAGCTTCGTTCTTGAAACTCTCTCCTCCTCTTGTACTTTAGTTGTCTCCCCACTCCGTGAGTTTTGCTGGAGGGGAATGAGGTAGTGGATTTCCCCCTTCTCCTCTCCGCTTGGCGTCCGATGCTCATTCCCATGCCTTCTTGCGGTGTTTTTTATCCCATCACTTGTACAAACTCATTTCCAAGAGGCGGTGAAGTAGAAGCATGCGTTCCTTCAGACGGTGCTCCAGAGCAGGCTGTCTAGGGCTGCCCACCTACACTGTGACAATTTTTTGTTGCAAGGCTGAAAGTAAAAACCCCAAAAGGAAAGTTGTCTTCCTCCTCTTCGAGGTATTTGCATGCTAAAACATCTTCTAGGAAACTGTAAAATAAAGAGAATCTTAGGGCAGCTTCCAGTAGTCACAGATGTTTCCCTTATGCTCTTGGCTTGGGTTTTGTGTGTTTCTGAGGTTCCCATTTGCCTGATCTGCATGCTGGTTATGCTGGTTTTGGCAGGTGGGTTTGTGTTTGAGAGGTTCCCCAAACCTTTTGGGATTGCATTTCTGAGCAGGTTAATTTGTGTCCTGAAACCCTTCAGTTTTTACCCCACTACACTCTTCTAAACCAACACGGATTTTGCCAGGGCAAGACCTTTCACCAGGGGGACCCTGTGTGGTCACCACCGCGCTATGGGACAGCACAGGCAGGACTTTCCATACCTGTCCTTTGAACAGGGTGTGTTGCTACTGCAAGGAGCCCGTTCTCCAAGATGTTTTGCAAGTGCGTGTGCAGCTGGTGATGGCCAAACCAGCCTGGACTGCAGAGGTGCTTAGTGCCCTCCCACTGTGGCTGGGTGGGAAGGGAGCACCACCTGCCCTAGGGCCATGGTGGGCAAGTATCCTATAAACTGGGCTGGAGACAGGAGCTGTGGGAGGTTCCTGCTCTAGCTGGGCTGGGGAAAAGGGAAGGAGATGTTACCTCTGATGCTGAGTGAAATGTAGAGCACGATGATGATGGTCCCCAGGATAATGGAGACGATGCTGAGCAGCCTGGCCATGCGGCCGAGTCGCCGGGCTCCGTCCATGTCCCCTTGCTGCCCGCTGTTCCTTGACTGGGGGGAAACACAGAAAGAGGCTTTGGAGAATGGCAGCAGCTCTGGGGTGACTCTCTGGCTGTAGTCCCCAAAACAAGAACTGCTGCATCAGCGGGGGGGGGGGGGGGGAGCTGGATCTGCCCTCCTGGGCTCTCGCAGGATGGCACCCAAGCCCATGGCTTTGCCAGCCCGTGGTCCTGCTAAACTGACGTCCCTGGAGAAGCCCACCTGGGATGTCATTCTGCTTCCCCTGGGTAGGAGCTGGACTGGCTCAAGTCTGTCTTTTGTTGGAGTGACTAAGAAACAGCCCTGACGTGGGGCAGGAGGCACAACGCAGCCCTAGCCCCTCTGTGCCTCTTTCATGGAAAACCCTGAAATTCTTCACTTCAGTCCGCAGAGCAGCTCACTCCTACCAGGCCTGCGCAGGGACACTGCGTCCCCAGGGCTACCACTGTCCTTCTGCATCTTGTGCACAGGAAAAGCGTGCTGCTTCCATCATCCTCTGCAAATATATGTATTGAGAAGCGTCCTGGTTTTGGCTGGGTTAGAGTTAATTTATGTATATTGTGAGGTTAACTATCACTGAAAAACTGGGGAAAAAAGCAGTGATGTTTCCAACGCAGCACGTGGCCCCTTTGCTGGCTGTTGGAGCTGAATGTGTGTGCGAGAGGAATGGGCTTTGGTAAAGTGGGCAGTAACGGCTGGCTTTCATCTTGTGATGGGATGTGCTCTGGTGCCTCTGCAATACCCTGTATTTCTGCATCAACGTAGATGGGTTGTGTTCACCATCTCTGGTTTTAAATACAGTCCTCCTACAGTGAATGCCTGCTCTTGCGTGTGCTGTAGAGGGGGAAGGAATAGTCCATATAGCTTCTCTATTCTGCTTATAGTTTCATTGTGATTTTCCCTGCTGCTCTATTGAATTCTTCAGGCAGCTCAGTGAAAGCTTTCCTCTGCTCTGTAACTAAAAGAAGGGGCTCCCTGGCTGTGGCAGAGCTGAACAATGGGATGGGGAACGGCACTATTAGGTACCTGGAAATTATTGTGTGTGGACTCATTAAGGGATGAAGAGAGATCCCCAAGAGCTGTGGTTAGAACAGGACTTGCCCGGTGCTGATGTTTGTGGGCACTGGTGTTTTAATGGGAGGCTCTTGGTGGGATAAATTGCAGCAGTCCTTGTCTTCGGGAACAAGTGACAACCCAGGGTGGATGGAAAACACAACTTGGAGGGTCCCTTGGAAACTTTGGTTTTCACTGCTCAGTCAGGGCTGGCCACCCGTGGGCCCGGCAGAGATCCAGACCATGGGGTCATCTCCAGGGGGGTTAGTGACGCTTCCCCAGGGTCTGCCCAGTAATGCTGCTGGGGCCAAAGGGGCCGGATGGGGTTGGGCAGGATTTGGGCTCACACCCAAAGAGGAAAGACATAAGACTGGATGAGCATGGGCTCACCAAGACCTTGCCTCGTGCCTGATGGGACAGCAAGGGTGATGCTGTGGCCTGACTCCTCTGAGCTTCACTGCTAGCTCTCTTACTGCCTGTGCTCAGCAGCACTGCTGGCCCGCTGGGCAACAGAGGCCCCCACCTATGCCAACCACCCACAGCAACCTGAAGACCAAACACAGCTCATCAGAAAATGTATAATACAGAGATGCATCGCAAACCTGCAGAGTAAGGGATTACATAAGGACCCTGTCTTGTTTCTTGCTCTTGTAATGGGCAATCATTTGGTTCCCAAGTGACAAATACTGGAAGTAAGAATTCCCAGTGAGAGAGGGAGAAGCATTACTGCCGAGAGGAGAGCCCACGGTGCTCCCCAGCCTGCCAGAGTCAGTGTGCTGGGCTTCCTGCACTTGGCTGAGGGAGGACCTAGCCCTCAGCAGAAGGGCAGCTGTGCAGTACCACGGCGAGGTTATTGGGGTGAAATTACTCACCGTGCATCAGCATTCGCTGTGTGTGCGGTGGAGAGGCTGGAGCCCCTCCATCAGCAACGCGGGAGCTCCCTGCTCGGGAAGAGGCAGACGGTTTGCGACTAGCACGGCTTCTCCGGACCAAACAGCCTTCCCGAATTCAAGCAGCGCCCTTCTGCCTGCCATGAAACCCATCGGGAAGGGGTTTTGGATGAGGAGAAATTGGATAAGGAGTTTTAAGGTCCGCTGGTAACATTTTTTGCCTGTCTGGGAAGGCTTGGAGTGGGGGGAACGGGATAGAAGCAGGCTTGGGGGAGAGACCAGGGCAAGGAGGAGGGAGCCCATCACACGGGTCTGTCGGCCTGATCCGGCAGAGGAATTGGGCAAAACCGCCCTCAACCTCATTGGGGACAGGGTTGTGTAGATACTTTAACTGCCCTGAAGCAGCTGTTCTTCCTTTAGAGATGCTTATAAGTATTTAACTTTTTTACATGGGTTAAAGGCTTCTTCCCTTGCCCTGTCCATCTCCAGCCATGCTGCCTTGGCTGAGCCAGGGCTCAGGAGAAGAGGGAGGTGTGGGGCAGGCTGGGGGGTTGGCAGCTCCCCGCAGCCCCATACCGTGTGCTGGCTCCTTCCTTTGGAGCATGGCAGCTAAAACTGGGGAAACTCTGAGTTAAAAATTAAATATGCTAGTTAAAAAGAGTTAAAGAAAGAAGCTTATTAAAACAATCCCACTTTCCTTCCAAATCAGAAAAAAATGTGAAATCTTAGAAATAACAACTGCACTGGAAAGGTGGAAAGGGTCCCCTGTTAATGCGTTAAAAAAAAAAAAAAAAAAAGAGGAAATTTAAGTCAGGAGGCCTAGCACAGCTCCAGCACTAACCATGAAACATCACTGAGATTTCAAACAATACTTGATGTTACTAATCCATTTCCCATTCATGCTGCTTTAATACCACTACCTTCCTGGCAGAACCAGGATCAAAAGTTCCCCAGCCCCAGCCTGGGGCTGCTCCGTCCTGCCCAGGTAGGTGAAATGTAGCTTTGAAGGTTTCTGCATACTCGTTTTAGTTTGTATCATTCTGCAAATAACACGACAGAGCCTCAAACAGATGGTCGCTTCCACTGCACCCCTGCAAACGTCCTGCTCTGCTCACGTGCCACCCTGTACAACAACGTCCCCACCGCCGATACCGAGAGAGCTCAAGACCTTGTTTCTGCTGGTCTCAACAGCACATTTGACAGACCACGTCTAAAATCGATGGGATGCAGCCAAGAGCCTATTTTCACTACAGAACAGATGACAGAATGGGCTGGTGGCAAGAGATGGGGAGGATGCAGTAGCCCAGGGATTGACAGGATCCCTGCCCTGCTCACTGACAGCTTCCAACCTTTGGGATTTTTAGGCTCAGGTTTGTGTAACAAGTGTAATATTTTTGCAGGGTGTGGGTTAGGTTGCAGTGAAATATGCAGGTTTAGCTGTCTTCTGGGGAAAATATATAGGCTAACAAATTTGATATATTTATCACTACAGCTTCTGGAAGTGTTTACTGCTCATTTATCCTGAACAATTATGAAAAATACATCAGCATTGGCATGGGGTGTTTAGCAAGCATTTGTTACTGTACATATATTATTCATTGGCGTGGAACAGTTTGATTATAGCTGTCTAGTATCACTAATCCTGTGTTTTGCTTTCCACATAAAAACATGAACATCTTGTTTATTAATCGAGACTCGCCGAGGCAGAATATCTCAGAAAGGCTTGAGGGCTATGGGGGAGTGAGTCACTGTGTGTGTGCCAAGGGACTCCGAATTACAGTGGAGTATTAGAAAATCTGAAGGATCCTAGAAGTGGGGCTGGAAAGGCACACTGTACCACAGCACCCACAGGGTGACTCAAAAGAGTTATTAGTCTCACCTGTTTTCAAACTGTTCTCTGTTCAAGTTACTGTTCAGAAGGTTTTCTTCCCTAACAGATCACCTAAGTTGTCTTGTTTCAAATGAAGACACTTTTCTGTGCTAGTCCCAGGGATGGAGAAGACAAATTGTCACCTCCTCTTCCCTGCAATCTTTCCCAATTTATGAAGTGGCTTTGGATGCACTCTGCTGCCTTCCACCAGTTACTCAGAATAAATCATTAATCCTCGACACTTGCATTTTGTTGAAGAAAATATTCTGAGAGAGGTATAAGTCAACATCAGACTTAGATAGATGACTGTGCCATTTAAAATGAGTAAGGATAGTTTGACTTATCCCACGTCTTTCAGGAATGACAGTACTTATTTTGGTCACCAAGTGCTGTGCAGAATTGCCCTTGGCATTACTATATGCTGGTTCTGGCTGGAGTTACCTTTCTTTTTCATTTCACTTCATTTGTTTGGAGTCTTGTACACTGGTGACCTCTCTGCTTCTTCCCCCTGATGTGGCTGCTCTTTGGTAGGAAAGGGAAGGGATTTGGTTACAGTAATCCAGCGTGTGTGTGTGGTACCCAGCCCTGCCCTGCCCATCTCTGAGATGGGTTCCACAGGGCTGCACTGCCCTTGTGTCCATCAGCCCTGCTCTCCAGCCTGGGGGGACACCTGAGCCCCTTAGTGCAGCCAGATCCTCACTAGGTCAAAAAAATGTATTCACAGGTCGGTGGAGGAGCCTCCAGGTAACTCATTTCCACAAGACCAGCATTATCAAGAGCATGCTGGGAGTTAGAGCAGATTTTTTTTCCACCTCTGGCCATAGGCCCTGCTGCGATCTGAGACCAGCTTTTGAAAAATGATTTATGAGATGCTAAACCCAAAAGCATTCATTTGCTTTCTTCTCTGGCTGCTGCTTATTACCCAGAAAAAAGCTTTCATGTGCAAAAAGCATTGACTTAGGGAAGGAAAATACAATTGCAATGCTAAAGAAATGTCAGCACATTGTAGAGAGGCCCCCCCTGCCTGCCCAGGCACCAGGACTTTCAAAGACCTGGTTCCAGCGCAGATTTGTGCATGATCAGGCACTCCTGGGTTTTATTCTGTGTGGAGACCTAAGCCTGTGGCAACCTCGGGGGTCACTGGGAACTGAATTCCTCCCTGGTGTAAGGAGGTGAAACATCAGCCGATGCTCTGAGAGCTGTTCCTGCTGGCAGGAGGACCCAGCCAGATGTTTCCCGCATCCTTAGGGTCAGCATGGAGCAAGGATCACTCCTCATCCTGCTCCACTGGCACCGTGCGGGGGTCCCTGGCTGGAAGGGGGGGGTGTGTGTATGATGGCACAGGCATGGCCAGGACTAGAAAGGGCAGTAATAAATTCAGTGTCCCATGGGAGAGGGAGTGCAAGGGGTGCTGTGGAGGGGCCAGAAGATGTGCACTGGCTACTAATGTGCTGGCTGTGTGTGCTAGAAACCTTGTTCTGGAGAACAGGTCCATTGGAGTGTGCCTTCTGCCTCGGTTGGGCGTCCCCTTCCACAGCTCTGGGTGGGCTCTGCTCAGCACTGGCAAGGGCCTTGGAAGCAGATAGCAGCCAAATAGTCTTCTTGCCTTGCTGGTCCTGCCTCCCTTTGTGTTTAACACAGTAAATACACACTGGTACCTCGCTGTCTAGCTGTATTAACTGGCTCCTGCTCTTTTTTCAATGCTTACTCTTCTACTCCACAGGGCTTATGTGGCCCAAGGCACATCCCCACCACGCTGGAGGCTCTAGCGCCTGCAAGGGAGAGTGTGAGAATCTATTTTGCATAAAGGCTAATGTGGTTGGAAAATCCCCGTGAGAGCCCTTGTTTATTACCATGGATATGCAATACCCAGCTGCTTTCCCTCTCATTGCAGTGCAAAGCCAAACAAGGCTGGCTTCCCCGTATGCTGCCTAAACAGGCTCCACCACACAACTGTACTACACAGATGACAGCCGGCACTGGCAGAAATGAAGATTCCTCCCCAAAATGGAAACTGGTCTCTCTAGAGGGCTTTCTGTGGCAAGTGCCAGTGTCTGTCTTCGAGTTGTTGTTGGGTTTTGGGGAAGTGCTGGCTGTGGGTGCCCCTCTGTGTATTTCGGTGTAGTAAGCAGGTAATTGCTTCCCCTGAGCTGATTTTCAAAGCAAAGATTTGCCTCCATTGCGAATCAAGGGCACAAAAGGTGCCCGGGGGGCTGTACAGCAGTGGGGCACCCTGGTGGCTACGGGGTGGCCATACGTACAAGGCTGTGCTGACTGAGCCCCCCGTACCTCAGATGGCTGGGCAGCCGGTTGGCTTTATTCTCCCTTGCTCCGATGTTGGTGTGTTTGCTGAGGTGTGGGGGATGTTTAATGGGGAAAATTGCTTCTTCGGGGCAATTAAAAGAGCTGCAGGTGCAGCCTGTCCCTTTGAAGTGTCCGAGGAGAGGAACCAGCCTCCAGCTGGGCTCTCCCCAGTGCTGCAGGGCTGGACTCGGCTGCCAGGAGGGGCGGAGGGGGGGGGGGGGGGAGATCCCTGGTCCTTTCTTCGCTCCGCAGCTCCTTCCCGGGGAAGCCCGGCGAGTCTCTCCGCACCTCTGCCTGGCGGCAAAGCACCCGAGCTGCTTCCCGGAGCCCTGCCCTGGGCGTCGCCCGCATCCCATTCCCCAAATCCTGGCGCCGCCCTTCCCCTCCATCCCCTCGAGCTGCCCGCGGCTCGGCCGCCGTCCCTGCCCGCCTTTCCCGGCCCTCGATGGCAGCGTCCTGCGGGAGCCCGAGCAGCGGCAAAGCCCGGCGGAGCTGCGGGAGCCGAGCAGGCTCCTCCCGCCCCGCTCGCCGCCCGTGCAGCACCGCGGACAGCGCCGGGGCCGGCCCCGCTCCGGCCGTCGAGGGCGGGCGGGAACCGGGCCGGGGCGCAGGGCGGGACCCGCACTCACCATGATGGAGAAGACGAGGGCCACGACGTTGATGGGCCAGACGGGGCAGAAGCAGGAGAAGATGGCGAGAACCAGGTAGTCCCGCGGGCGGCCCTGCTCCGCTGCCGCCGTGCTGGTGGCCGTGGAGGAGGCTCTGCCCAGGCTGAGCCGGGACGGCGAGAGCGGGGCCGCCTCCAGGTGCCCGACCGACACCGACTTGTAGGCGAGCCCGTGCCCGTTGCGCTCCGCCTCGCCGGGCAAAGCGGCGGTGAAGGATTTGGAGCCGCGGAGGCCCTTCTCCTCCCGGCCGTCGGTCGCCGCCAGCAGCTTCTCGGTCTCCTGGAAGCGGGTGGGCAGCGCCGTGCCCGAGCCCGAGCCGGAGCCCGAGCCCGAGCCCCCGGGCGCGGAGCCGCTGCTCGCCATGGCCCGGCGGAGCGGGCTCGGAGCTCGCCCCGCCGCCGCCGCTCTGCGCTCGGGGCCCACCGCCCCGCGGGAGGCCGTGCCGGAGGAGGGGCCAGCCCGGCTCGGCCCCCGGGGCAGGATCGGGGCCGCGGACCGCCCCCGGGGTGTCCCGGTCCCGTGTCCCCCCCCCCCCGTCCCCCCCCTCCCTTCCCTCCTCCCCAGCCTCCGCCCGACCCGGTGCAGGCGGTCCCCGGGGACGCGGCGGGCGGGAGCGGTGGGAAAGCCGGGGTGTCCCCTGGAGCTTCCAGCCCGAGGCTTTGTCCCGACCCCCCGGCTCTTCCCGGGGGCTCCCACGGGCTCCGCTCCGCTGCAGCGGTACGTGAGAGCCCAGCCCTGACCGGGCTCGGTGGCTGCAGGGCGATGCCGGGGGCAGCTCTGTGCGGGGTGTCGGTACACACAGCCCCGCTGTCCCTCGGTCCCTCCTGCCTGAAAGCGCTTCCCCGGGGGGGGGGGGGGGGGGGGGGGAACATGCGACACAGACCAGCCCCACGAACCCCTTATGACTGCAGAGAGGGGCTTGAGCTGCTGCGAGTGGGCAGGGACCGCTCGCTGCCCGGAGGTGTGATGGTGTCTGGGCAGTGTGGGGGTGTCTGGGGGTACCCCTGGCTCCAGTCGCTCTGGGAAAGCATCTTCCCCTGCCCTCGCTGCGTGTGGGTGGCCCCGGAGACGTGGCAGCTAGGAACAGGGGTACCAGATCAGTGACAGATACTGTGGTCCCTACATAGGACCTGCAAAGGAGAAAGGGTTTTGGTGCAGGGGTGGGTTATGGCCTCAAAAACAAATAACAGCCTCCTTGGGAGCAGGGGCGGTGCCGTGCGGGGCAGAAGGGAGGGCTAAAAAACCCCACAGAGCCTGGATACCTGGCAAAGATGGATGTTTTCCACCCATTCTGTATTATGCTTCAATTCTAAATTCGTCAGGGATTTCCCTGGCAGTGGGTGCCATCTACGGGGCACACCCAGCACCTTCTGCCTCTTTGAGAGGTGCCCAAAGAGCCTGCTCCAGCTGGGCCCTGCTGCCCAACCTTGCCCAGGGCCTGCCAGGCTGCTGCCCCCCCGGGACTTATCCTGTCCTGCAGCCTCCAGACAGAATCAGGACCCATGTTTCATTAATGTGAACCTGAGAGCAGCGGGGTGGCCCTGCTGTGGGGGGTCTCACGGGGTTATACCTCCCCCTCTGCTCCTGCCTCTCTGGCCATTTACTTCCATCTGTCTCACTTTGACTGACCACCAAAGCTGGGGGTAAAACCTGGGGATGCAAATTTGGGTGGAGGGAGGGGTTGGGGCTGGGTTTCATTTAAACCATCTTTGAGTGTTGGTATTGCTGGACTCTCACTGCCTGTGTGATGGGAGCTGATGAGGCAGAGCAGGGGCATGCACTGCTTTGGGGAGAGCCAGAGCAGGGAAAACCACCCAGAGCAGAGATGCTGCTGGGAGAGACAGGATTTCTTCAGTGGTTATTGCTGCAGGCCTTCTCCTGGCAAGGGGAACATCTGTTGGAGATTAAAGCAAGATGCCTCACACCAGCAGCACTTTAAAAAGGCTCCTTTGCTGAGCAAAGAGCTCTCTCTCCTGGCTGCTGCTAGCTTTCCTCTGCTCATTGCCCAGCTCCCTTGTCCCACCTGGGGATTAAGGGAGGAGGAGGAGAAGACCTCGGGGAGGGACTGGCACACGGGATCAGAGGGTTGAGACGGTTGTTCCAATATGTGTCCTCCTGCCCCGGCAAGGAAAGAGCTCAGACTGCCTCGGGTGTGTTGGCAGCCAGTGCTGGGGCTTGGCTGGGAGCACTGGGACAGGAGCCGTGGGGCTGGAGGAGCTCTGCAGGGGCTCAGCACTGCGGGAATCATGCAGTGCAATTTGCCCTATCCAAAAATCTGCCTGTTGTGGTGCGTGTGGCTGTAAAACCCTGCTTATTCCTGCAACAATTCCAGTTTGCTGAACCTTGTGCAGAAGGGAGCCCTCCCAGCCGGTCTGAGCTTTCTAAGTCAGAGGGAAGAGGCCAAAGGGGCCTTTTTAGTAAACTTCCCCCCTTTCCTCCCCAGTGTCGGGGCTGGCCAGGAGCACACTATCAGCCTGTCCCACCAGACCCACTTTGCTGCAATCTGGAGGAAACCGCAAACAGATGGGTGGGTTTTAGGAAAGCTGGCATCTGTCTCCCCTCCCAGCCTGGCCTAACAAACCTGCTGGGCACAAACGTTTGCACTTGCAATGAGCTTAACACCAAAAGTCCCAGGGCACTAACCTTTCCCTGCTTCTGCTCCTTTCCTTCACCGGTGGGAGCCAGGGTGACCAGCCAGCCAGGGGCTTTAGTGTGATCCCCACGGCCCATCTGTCCACCCCACACACATTAACAACCAGTGCCCTGGTGACGGGTTTGTAAGTTGTGTTTTCTCACAGAGCAAGCAAGAGAGAATAAATAACAGTGACAACCGGCAATGGTGAGACCTCGCAACAAGAAACACAGAGCTGGCACTTCCAGAGGACTTTCCACCTTCCCCAGTTTTCCCACAGAGTGGAGACCCGCAGCCGGGCAGTGCCGGGGTCCCGTATGGCGTGTGGTGGCTCACGGCTCTCACCAGCATCGCAGCTGAGCTCTGCATCCTGGAGCCAACAGTCCCTTCCCGCTCCCCCCCATTCTGTCCCGCGGATGCGTTACCTTCCCGGCACTGTCTGGCCACCCCCAGCCCGGCAGGTCAGTGGATGGGGAGACACTGGTGGTGTCCCCAGCTCTGGCAATAGCTCGGCTGCCAGGGGACTGCCCCAGCCAGGGGGTCTTGCAGGCTGGTCGTGTATCTCTGCTGGCAAGCGCTCCGGAGCGTGGGGTGGGGGGTCCCGCTGGAGAAATAGGCAGGGCTGGGCACGGAGCGATCCGCTTTCGGGCTCTCGTAGCGATGGAGCTGCCTCTCAAGGGAAAACCCAGCGTAGAAGGGGGACGGAGGGCAGTGCTGCAAGCCGGCACCGCCTGAGGAACTGGGTTCCCAGGGGGGCTGGGGTCGGGTGGCCTTCATCCCCGGCTCCTGCGCAGGGACCCCGGCCCGGCTGCGGCATTCGGAGTGGGCGCAGGGCCAGCAGCGCCCGGCGCCGTGCAGGGACAGGGACAGAGCCGTGATCCTGTTGATGGCTCGCCGGAGGGTAGCGATTTTAGAAAGCCTTTTGCCACCGAGGTCATGTTTGAGGGCCAGCCGCAGGGCGTTGAAGGCTTGGTTGTAGTCCAGGATTCTCTTGCGCTCTCTGACGTTGGCAGCCATCCTCCTGGCCTTGGAGCGCGCCGGCCTGCTCCTCTTCCTCACCTTCATCCCTTCGGTGTCCCCCAGGCAGGTGGCTGCTTCCCTCCCCTGGGGGACCCACAGACCCTGCCCATAGCACACCGGGGCTGCAGCTCCTGCTTCCAGCTCCTCTTCTGAGCTGTCTGGCTCTGGTGCTGTGCTTTTCCCCACAGCTGCTCCGGACATGGCCGCTGATGAGGGGGGAGCAGGAGAGGTGCTGCTGTGGTCCTGCCTCCTGTGAGGTGTGGGAGACACTCCTCCAGGGACACGCAGCCGCCTCTAAAAACCCCATGGCGGGGCTCGTCACGTGGCCCGACCCCCCCCCCAACCCCCTCACCTGCCTGCAGGTGTTCTGCCTTGCGGGGAGGCACAGGGTGAACCCCACCTGGCCTCTGCCCGTGGAGATGCTCCTGAGCACGGTGCTGGGCTGGAGTGTGGGGCACCGGTGCCCAGAGCTTGGGGTGGGATGCTCACAGGCCCCCGGGGGGAAGCACATCTACCAAGCACACATTGCCATGGTTGTTTTAGTCTCTGCTAAGAGTTTGATTGCTGCAGGAGTTCCCAGGCTCAGCCTGGGCCAGGTCATCCTTGGGTTTTATATGGTGCCATGGGGCAGAGATCTGTGGAGCATCACCACCCTGGCACGGGGCTTGGGCTCTGCTCCCCCACACTCAGTGGTGCTGCAGCATTTCTGTTATTTCCCAGCTAGGGGAAACTGAGGCACGGAGCGATGAGGCTGCTCAGGAGAGCAGTGAGTCTTGTGCCTGGGTGCAGGAGAAGACAAAACAGCTCCCGCCCCAGGAACGGGGCTGGGGCACTGAAGCTGCCTTTGAGATAGTGCCATAGGGCTGCTCCATGCAGCTGCACCCAGGCGAGCCGGGAGCATCCGTGGGCACGGAGGTAAGTGGGTGCCCAGGCAGGAGCAGCCCCTGGGAGTCAGCAGGGGAACGTGCGGGCCTTGGCACGCCTCTGCCCTGCGGAGCAGGAAGCAGGAATGTGTCAGGGGGGACTGGGGCAGGTGATAAAAGAGCTAAAGTGCTACCTGCCTCCAGAGCCTTCCTGTCCCTTCCCAGCAGTGGGGAGCCTGGGGGCAGAGCTGTTTGGGCTGGTGCTGCCGGGTCTGCCCGGCACTTATTCTGGGGAAGACGTTGCTGAAAGCAACTCCTTGTTCCCTACATCCCCAAACTGGCAGGACAGAGGGACTTGCCAGGTGCGGCGGGTCTGGAGGCCATGGGAAGGGCCAGGTCCCTGTCCTCTGAGCAGCATGGGACTGCCACGTGTGTTTGCCCACCATTTCATTAGCGAGCAGTCGCTAAATGCCTTCTTGTGTAAGGGGTAACGCTTTGAAAAATGGCCCTGGAGTAGGTCTGACAAATTGTTGGGGTGACTGGTGCAAAAGCAGAGCCCTGGGAGGATGTGCCCCCCTTGGTCCATCCCTTCCTATCTGATTGTCCTGGCTCACGTTTGATCAATAGCCACAATTAGCAAGGGGCTATTTGTCTATTGCCCTTCTCCTCCCTTGGCTTTTTGAAGTTGGAGCTAATTTAGGTGCCTCCTCTCCAGGAACCCAATAAATCAGGAGTCAAGGCCTCAGGGAGAGGGGAGGACCAGGCAGCAGGACTTCAAAGGGGGGGGTGAAGGTTGCAAATATTTTTGAGCACTCACCTGTGCTCACTATGGCCCTCTTGTTCTTCCCAGTTGCCGCCCAGTCTTGCTCTGCCCAGGAGCGGATGCTACCCCGGCCACTGACTTACCCAGTGAGCTCAGCTCGGGAGCGAGGGGCTC